TATATATATATATATATATATATATATATATATATATATATATATATATATATATATATATATATATATATATATATATATATATATATATATATATATATATATATATATATATATATATATATATATATATATATATATATATATATATATATATATATATATATATATATATATATATATATATATATATATATATATATATATATATATATATATATATATATATATATATATATATATATATATATATATATATATATATATATATATATATATATATATATATATATATATATATATATATATATATATATATATATATATATATATATATATATATATATATATATATATATATATATATATATATATATATATATATATATATATATATATATATATATATATATATATATATATATATATATATATATATATATATATATATATATATATATATATATATATATATATATATATATATATATATATATATATATATATATATATATATATATATATATATATATATATATATATATATATATATATATATATATATATATATATATATATATATATATATATATATATATATATATATATATATATATATATATATATATATATATATATATATATATATATATATATATATATATATATATATATATATATATATATATATATATATATATATATATATATATATATATATATATATATATATATATATATATATATATATATATATATATATATATATATATATATATATATATATATATATATATATATATATATATATATATATATATATATATATATATATATATATATATATATATATATATATATATATATATATATATATATATATATATATATATATATATATATATATATATATATATATATATATATATATATATATATATATATATATATATATATATATATATATATATATATATATATATATATATATATATATATATATATATATATATATATATATATATATATATATATATATATATATATATATATATATATATATATATATATATATATATATATATATATATATATATATATATATATATATATATATATATATATATATATATATATATATATATATATATATATATATATATATATATATATATATATATATATATATATATATATATATATATATATATATATATATATATATATATATATATATATATATATATATATATATATATATATATATATATATATATATATATATATATATATATATATATATATATATATATATATATATATATATATATATATATATATATATATATATATATATATATATATATATATATATATATATATATATATATATATATATATATATATATATATATATATATATATATATATATATATATATATATATATATATATATATATATATATATATATATATATATATATATATATATATATATATATATATATATATATATATATATATATATATATATATATATATATATATATATATATATATATATATATATATATATATATATATATATATATATATATATATATATATATATATATATATATATATATATATATATATATATATATATATATATATATATATATATATATATATATATATATATATATATATATATATATATATATATATATATATATATATATATATATATATATATATATATATATATATATATATATATATATATATATATATATATATATATTATATATATATAGTGGTTTTTACCTTTGGTTTGGAAAGATATTTTTTAAACTTATGAAAAGGTTCCGATATTTTTTTAAGACAGTTTAATAAGAACGTAACTGACAATTTGCCAGACACTAACCGCGGTCGTCAATTAGTTTTTTTTTTATCCTCTCTTTCTGTGATACAACCAAAAGAAAAGCAATTTGCTGCGACCTCAAAGTCTGCACATAATACCATCCTTTGCACAAGGAAACGCCGCCTGGAGCAGTCACTGACCTGAGACGGATAATGCCATCGTCATCACCTGCCCTAAATGTGGGACCGCGGAGAGTTGAAGATGTATTGTATACTTATGTTTAAAAGGCGTGATGGCAAAAGAAAGGACATAGTTAGTATATATTGGCAGTTGGATATTAAATTACTCAATATTCCTGGTAAAATTTGATCACCCGATTATACACACATGCAAATTTACAGATAGATAAAGACAGACAGATAAGGATGGAGAGATGGATAGACAGATAAAAATGCATAGATACTCATACTGCTTAGGTTAATGCATTTTGTGACGGGTACAGCATGAAAAATATTAAGTAAGTTTATAACAACAACAAATATACGTGTGGGATTAACTTTCTGGCGAATCGAAAGTGAAATAATCCAGTGCATTAAAAAAAAAGTTGTGTGTGCATACATATACATACAAATACATACATACACATTCCTCGTACACTCGACAATTATATAGCAGTATTTAAGTTACTCTTGTACCTTTGAATTACCTTATTGTATCAGTGAATGAACTTATGAGGATTTTCCCGTTATGAAAAGGTCAAAACACTTTCCTCTGACGCGCCGGGGAAAAGTCAACTCGTGAGCAGGTTTTGGTACAGAAGGCAAAAAAGATGCAACTCATCTTCACAACCTCGCTTTCCATTTAAATTTTATTAGTTATTTCCGTTAAATGCATGTATCTGTTTTGTTCGGTTATGCATATAAATATACACATAACCGAACAAAACAAATGCATACAGTTAACGGAAACAACTAATAACACTATATACATATATACATATACATTTGTGTGTATATATATATGCATATATGCATGTTTGTATATATATTGTATACATATATATATATATATATATATATATATATATATATATATATATATATATATATATACACATACATACATATATATATATATATATATATATATATATATATATATATATATATATATATTATGTATATATATATTTGTATGTAATATATATACACATATACAAACAAATCAAATTTCTGAATCAACCTCTCAAGAAACTGTATAAACAAACATTCAAATAAATAACAACGATGATGAAACAAAACCCTTAAAAAAAGACACTTCTTAAAAATAGTGTACAGACATGAGCAAGCGTCGTTAAATACCGCGGGAGACTAAACTGCATGCAAATAACTCCATGACTTACTGGCGCCGAAAGAATATGCTCCATGAATAGTAATGGAGTTTAGGCGTCTTTTCCTTATTGCTCGTGAGAAATATAACTAGCGATTGACGTTATAAGAAAAATAAAACTCATTTTGTGATAATACGTTGTATGGTGATATAGACTACGGTGGTATACTTTATTACACTATATTTCACAACAAAACGGTTTATAAGGATGCATAAAGTTATAGAAGTTGTGGAATGAATGATGAAAATAATGAATGGTCCGCTGTAGTCAAGGTGCGTAGTTTTTGGCTTTTGCGTTCCACATGATGAAAGAATAGGGCAAGAAAGACGGAAAAAAAGACATACTTTAGGAGGGTGTATTTTACGGGTGAATTGAGGGGGAGAGAGAGAAAAAAGAGGAGAGAAAAACGAGATATAAAAAAGAGAGAGGGGAAGAGAGAGCAAGATTAAAAGACTGAGAAAAAAAGATAAAAAAGGGAGAGGGGAAGAGAGAGCAAGATTAGAAGACAGAAAGAAGAAAGATGTTAATGAGAGATGTGGGCAGGGGAGGAGGAGACAGGAGAGCTGCAGAGAATAACAAAGAAAGAAAGAGAAAGAATGAGGGTCAGGGAGAGAGAGACTAACAGCGAGAGAACAAGAAAAAAATAAAGAAAGATCAGGAAAGATAGAGGGAAAGAGAAGAGTGATAAGAGGAAGAGGGACAAAAAAAAAGTAACTTTCGTCATACCTGA